AGGTCTGAACTGGTGGAACTAAGGAATTGAGCTCATCAGAACATTTTCCAGGGAAATAACGATAGAGTAGAGAGAGGCTTAGCTGTAAAGGTCTGAACTGGTGGAACTAAGGAATGGAGGTCATCTGAACATTTTCCAGGGAAATAACGATAGAGTAGAGAGAGGCTTAGCTGTAAAGGTCTGAACTGGTGGAACTAAGGAATGGAGCTCATCAGAACATTTTCCAGGGAAATAACGATAGAGTAGAGAGAGGCTTAGCTGTAAAGGTCTGAATTGGTGGAACTAAGGAATTGAGCTCATCAGAACATTTTCCAGGGAAATAACGATAGAGTAGAGAGAGGCTTAGCTGTAAAGGTCTGAACTGGTGGAACTAAGGAATTGAGCTCATCAGAACATTTTCCAGGGAAATAACGATAGAGTAGAGAGAGGATTAGCTGTAAAGGTCTGAACTGGTGGAACTAAGGAATGGAGCTCATCAGAACATTTTCCAGGGAAATAACGATAGAGTAGAGAGAGGCTTAGCTGTAAAGGTCTGAACTGGTGGAACTAAGGAATTGAGCTCATCAGAACATTTTCCAGGGAAATAACGATAGAGTAGAGAGAGGCTTAGCTGTAAAGGTCTGAACGGGTGGAACTAAGGAATGGAGCTCATCAGAACATTTTCCAGGGAAATAACGATAGAGTAGAGAGAGGCTTAGCTGTAAAGGTCTGAACTGGTGGAACTAAGGAATGGAGCGGCTTAGCCGTAAAGTTCTTGACTAATGAAACTAAACAATATAGCTCTTCAAAACCTTTTCCATGGTAACAGCGATAGAGAAATGAATGGCCTGAGTCGTTTCGTCTGTCACTATTCCTTACCTTATGTATCTCGAAAGACTGCCCCAGAAACCTTTGAGTATAGTTTTACATCTAGATACTTCTGTTATTTCGTCTATGGGAAATATGGAAAATCATGAATCCCTTACAAAATGTTTCCGAACTCTATGAAGACTATAAAGTGAGTAGCAGTTAGCTCCGGCCCAAATATGACAGTTGGTCTTGAGTCGTCGCGGTTTTGTCTTGACAAAGCTTAAAACTGTTGTCTTTTGGGTGTTTATTTTCCACTTTACAATCCCTTTTTCGCACAAGAAGCGTTGCTCCCCTCTTGTTAATCTATCGTCCTTTCTATGCCAAATATTGAGTTGAGCCCAATTCCTTAGTTCCACCAGCTCAGACCTTTACAGCTAAGGCTTACAATACTACAAACACCGTGTTAAATCATCATCATTTCTTTCATTTTCTTTTGGTAAGAAGGTAAATTATACTCATACAACTTCTTCCTTAGAAATGTCACTTTGTTTCATAGACTCTCGAGGGGAATGCTTCTCCGACCACTACAATCTTAACCTCGTCGAATCAAGGGTCAACCGTATCCTACATATACTTATATATTTCACAGTACGTACTCATTTTTACGCACTTACAACTATCTCTACCTTGAGTAGCTCTTCGGCCTTGTATTGGGTAAACAATGCTATAAAAAGCAATATGTCTCTTTATGTGTTAATCGCTTTGATCATAAAGCTTGCAATTATTTAAAATATTTTTTGTTTATTTATTTTTTTTTTTTTAAGAAAGAACGATGCATCTGATTTCCGGCCGGTTTGAAGATGAGACAATTTCACGCATTCGTCAGACAAACATCAGGGCTAAAATAACAGACATTGTTCTAACAAGAAGCTACCGCGTAAACATGGCGGTGGGGGAAGGGTTATAGTCGTTGCTGTCATCATCAGCGTGAAAAGCACTGTTGTTGTGCTGGTTGTCGTCGTCGTTGATGTTGTTGTTGTTGTTCAGTTCGGTATTTGAGTAATGAGTCATAGGGAAAGGATGACAAAAAGCCATTGACTATGGTTGTGAAATGCAAGTGGTTGGGGGCGTGTGAGAAATCAACCAGACAGACAGACAACTAGAAGATTTTCGGCAGGAAGAATTAAAAGCCGACTAAGACAAAAGAAAAAAAAAAGAAGAATCTGCAGAAAATTCCGGAGGTGATGGAGAAAGAACATTCCAACCGTGTCTGCACACCGAGAAGAAAAAGCAAGGGGGAAAATGCATGAAGAAAACGGTGGGAATTCTTCAGGCTCACGTGACCTCCGGCTTCCGGTTTAGCGTCGGTTATTTTGCAAAAATAAAATAGAATAAAAAAAAAAGTAAAAAAAAAAAAAAAAACACTGAAAGTGTTTGTTTTATCGTTGTTATCCTTCTCGGCGTGTGTATATGTGTCTCCCCATTTTATGTATGTATGGGTGTTGTGCCTGCGTGCGTGTGTGTGTGTGTGTGTCTGTGTGTGTGTGTGTGTGTGTGTGTGTGTGTGTGTGTGTTTTGTGTGTGTGCAAATAAGCTTCTGTTTACACTTTTGCAATTCGACTTAATTTCATTAAATATGATCCTAACGTCGCGCATACGAAACATTTACATGTATGCATATGTTTATCTTTTAATATACATACAAGTGAAAAGCAAAAGATGCCTTTTAAAAGCTAAACAAAGTATTAAAAAACAAGAAAATAGTTTCAAACTCCGTAATATCGATGTCTTTAATCAGTGTCTTTATTTGGTCATCTTCAACGGTTGCAGATTAGCAAAACAAACCTCGATTTAATGAACTCTTGGGAGAATGTGTTCCATATATCCGTTAGGGCCTTAAATCCGATAAATCTGTCATTTCGTAAATATAAGCATCCGCATTTAATGAACATCTATTTAAAGACGTGATTTGCTCAAAATCAAATTTTTCAGTTGTAAACCCAGCGAAAGACTACACTCAGCTATGGCACCATAACCATAAATGGCACTTATCTTTTTGCTGTTTGTACAGCTTTTTCTTTCTTTTTCTTTTTTCGTAAAGAAATATGTAGTGACAAAAATTCATCATATTTTCCTCCATGTGTACTTTTAACACAATCTACGCATGAATCATATAAAAATATGCGTTGAAATGTCATTTTCGTAATATATATATATATATATATATATATATATATATATATATATATATATATGTTCATGCTTCTCTTGTTCATGCGCATGTGTCGTCAAAACAACGTTAACAAATCAATTCCGATGAAGTCCCAACGGAAAAAAATCCGTTCGACCATATACAAAGATTCATCTCTTCAGACCTAAGGATTTTTTTTAATAAATGCAATCAATTTGTCCAGACAAAAGGGACGGAAAAAAAAAGAAAAAAGGAAAGAGAAAAAAAATTATATTAAAAGAGGAATAAAGAAAAAGAAAAATTTCTATATAAGGTTTGAAAATTTTTTGAGATGGGGGGTGAAGAAAGAGAGAGATGAGGGAGAGAAGAGGGGGAGGGAAGAAAGAAGGTGAGCTTAAGAGAGAGAGGGAATGAAAATATATATAAAGTTACCAATTTTTATCTTTTAATCTGATAGTTCCTATCACTTTAAACGTTATTTTTTAGCGGATATTCATATTTGAATAGACGATCTGTTTATTTATTAAACTATATATATATTAAACTATATATATATATATATATATATATATATATATATGTGTGTGTGTGTGTGTGTGTGTGTGTGTGTGTGTGTGTGTGTGTGTGTGTGTGTGTGTGTGTGTGTGTTTTCCTACGGGTCTGAAATAAAAATTTATTAAAGAAAACTATGCGCTCTCTAGCAAGATTAGATTCAAACCTGCGTCATCGTGGCCAGAGGGACCTACCGTTAGGGCCGTTGTATCCTTCATAGATTACCTTGACTTTCACGGTTAGCTTTCTGTTTTTATTTGTTTTTTTGTTTTTTAGCGTTCGTAAATTTCAAAGTTTTGAAAACCTAACGATGTCTTTACTTCTGTTTATAAATAATTGTTGCAAAATAAAAATCATTGGATTTGCCTTGATAAAGTCCATCAGAGGACAAAACGCGTTGGTAAAGTAAAGTTTTCTTATTGTCTTCATTCATAAGCTGAGGCATAGTGCACTTATACTCTGATTCAAGCTAATCACAAACGTGCTGTGTTGATAGGTAAATAAAACTTCATTTTTGCATATAATGCCAGTTTCATGCAAACGTTTCTGTCTCTGTTTAAAATTTAAAATTTTTCTCTTTCATCTAGCATTTTTTATTATTTATTTACTGGTTAATTTTATGGGATTGATTTTTTTTTGATTGTTTCATTCCCATTAGGACAATTCAAAGACCGGAGCGATAAAGATTCATGCTAAACCTACTACTGGCATTTTTAAAAAAAAAACAAAAAAAAAAAAACTTCTTTTTACAGAATATATATATAAAAAAAAACGAAATTACAGCAAATTTCAAAGTAAAATGAAGATCTGGTCATCACGCTATCGAAATTAAATTATCTAATAACATTCGTTGATCCAGTCACGCAATAATATTGTTTACATCACACTACCTTTATTCAAATATCTTTCTGACGTCACTGAACCCCAATACCTCAATGAAACCCTATTGAAAATTATTCTAATGTGAACAGGGTTAGAGCGGACAAATTGAATGGGAAAGAAATAACCCCACGAAAGGAATTTTCAAAACGGAATTATGAAAAAAAAAAAAAGAAAAAGATAATGGTGAAATTATGTATTCCCTTTAATTGGAATAACAGCCGGTGTAGAATACTGTCTTTGAAAAAATCTAGGGAAAAAAAGAACAATGTTAATATCTAAATACAGACACAACAACAAAATTCCAACTACACTACCTACAACCACATCACCTCTCCAAAAACTAATCAACCAATATCCTGTAAGATAAAAGATACTGTCTAATCCTTAGTTCGTGGATATATTCATTATCACACCACAAACATCCAAAATAAGCGTCTCCTTAAATTGATATCGTTTTTTCGTGTTAAAATACTGGTTTTCGTTAGGTAGGTGATGTATTCAATCTATCCTGTGAGTATCACATTTTCCAAGCCCTCTTTCACCATTATTTGCACTAGACGTTTCAAGTTTCTATCTCAGCTTGCTTACGGCAACATCACGTTAAAACATCGGTTCTCGTACGATCACCGAAGTAAAGCAACGTCGATCTTAGTCAGTACCTCGATGGGTGACCGCTTGGGAATACCAGGTGTTCTATGTTTGGGTATTCGTTAATTTTATATAATTTTGTCATGTTTAAATACCGCTTCTAGCTAAGGTAGGTTATGCATCGTTTTCCTCCGTTTCTCTTACCATCAATCTGCCCTGTGTGTATCATATTTTCCAAGCCCTCTTTCCTCATTATATCCCCTAGCAATTGCAAACGCACTCACCACATGTTATCACCCCCATCCCTTTAAAAGGCATTCTTTTTAAGCCATTTTGTATAACAGACTTATTTATCCTTAGCCTAAATATTTTTTCTCTCTGATAAGCTTTTGACATTATTGGTATTTCCACGGAGTTACGTCCCTTTCCTCTAAATTTCAGGCTGGTTAAGCACAGTAAAGTAGTAAAGCATGTATAAGTATTATGGATCAATGGAAGGTTTTGAAAACAAATTGTTTTATATGATTTTATTGCTTGTCTCACTCTACATATTAGCCTCGCCTACCTGGGATTCTGATATCTATATAAATTTCCTCAATTGGGTAACAATTTTCCTTGTGGCTGAAAAATTATTTTCCGCCCTAAAATCCTTTTCTTACAGACGAAACGTCACAAGTCTCTCACTGTTCTATCTCCTTGGAAAGTGTTCAAACGAATTACATTTTTTAATTTCACCAGGTTTAACCATCACGGCTAGGACCTACCATGACACGCCTATCGTAGCGAACTACCCTCATTCCTTTCGCATTTAGTGAGATGTAAGTTCCACTCGAGCGGACTCTTCCAATGAACCGCCGATTTGTGGAACCGATGAGGATGCATTCCCGACGTAACAGCAACATAACCGATAAACACCAACTTATTGACTATTCATATGAATAAAAGAACCAACAAATTAGCCAGGTATGAATCACACCAGGAATATATTAGGATATGCCTGAAGGATCAACTAGTACTGACCAATTTCAGGATTGATTTGGAACCATCAATAGGTAACCATAATGATGCGTTTTTAGTATTATGATACCGACAAATACAAGACTTCTCCAGGGAAGTCAGGCAGGATACTATACAGTTCTGCCAGGAAACTGTCACAGCAACAACAGCAGAAATCAGCCGACTTGATGAGCATATAAAAAAAAACGAAAGAAACTGAGAAATATATTAATATAAGGAATGTTATAAAAGATCCCACAGACCAAATATGAAAAAGAAAAACTGAAAAACAAAGAAAATTGAAATGGAATATTTCCTCTAGGTAGAAGAACAAAAGAGAAATCAAATTCTCAGCCAGAAAAAAAAAATGAATGACCATACCACAAAAGAAAGCAACACACCGCGCAACCACACCCATCACAACACAACAAATGCAAACAAAAAAACAAACCACACCAACAGACAACCATCAAATTGATCAAGTCTAGGGTTAAACGTTATCTTCCCAGCATAATCCCATAAACTGTTCTTCTTAATCCGTGGCGTTCTACTTCGAGTGGATCTCGGGCCATGTAGCATAAATATTTCTATCTTTGAAATAGAGTGAATGTAAGGAACGATGGTGAAATGGAACAAATGGACACATAGAATTAGAACGAGTCAGCTGGGAATTTCTAGGAGTTGTAATGAGGAAAGAGGGCTTGGAAAAATTAACACTCACATGACATATCGAATGCAAAAGGGACAGAATAAGTACTGGTATAAAAGATAAATGTTACTAAGAGAAGTACGAGATAAGATGTTGTGGAGGGCCATGATCGTCTACTGTACATAGAAGTCAGAGTATCGTCCTTTTTCATAGACATTAATTTCTTTAAATTTGTAGTTTATAATTACTTTCTTCTTCTTTTTATTTGCTTTCTTTTCTTTTTTTTAATCTTTTTTCCTTCTTTTTCTACTTGTTCTTCTTTTCTTCTTTTTCTTCTTCTTCTTTGCCTTCTTTTCTTCTTTTTTTTCTTCTTCGTTTTTTCTTCTTTGTCTTCTTTTCGCTATCTTTTGAATCTTTTTTCCTTCTTTTTCTACTTGTTCTTCTTTTCTTCTCCTTTTTCATCTTCTTCGTTTTCTTCTTCTTCTTTGCCTTTTTCATCTTTTTAATCTTTTTTCCTTCTTTTTCTTCTTGTTCTTTTCTTCTTCTTCTTCATCTTTTTTCTTCTTCATATTTTTCTTCTTTTACTTCTTCTTCTTGTTCGCTTTTAATTTGTAAATTTAGCAGGATTTTTGTTTTTATTCTCCTTCCATATTCGTTATTAAACAAGGTTGCTAATATATTCTTTTTTCTCTTTTTTATTCTCTCTCTTCTCGCACTCCTCCTCCTCCTCCCTCTCTCTATCCCCATCTCTCTCACTTTCTTTCTCTCTCTTTCTCTCTCTTTTTCTTTCTCGCTCTTTCTTTATCTCTCTCTCTCTCTCTCTCTCTCTCTCTCTCTGACCCCAAAACAACTGAAAAACGAATTGCCAAAAAAAACCACGTCTCAAAATGAATTTCACTTTATATTGGGGATTCAAACAAAGGGCTTAATGAATTGGCCTAGTTTCCATATTTCATCAATAACTTTAACTCGTTAACCTTAACTTTGTCGAATTACACTCTTCATGATCGATTCACATATTTTTTTAAAAACCTCGTCTCGATAACTGCTTTGCAAAATGCCATTTAGCTTTGCTTGCACTTAATTTCCCATATAAATTTAATAAATCAGGAATAAACGCTAATGCATATATATATGGGAGAAATTTTCATAGAAAATACTCGTCCTCCGACAGGAATCGAACCTGTATCCTATACGAAACCGTCATTTAGCCTGACATGCTCTCAACCGATCGAGCCACAGAGGATCGCTCGATTAGCAAGGTCGAATTTACTACCTTTAAACTTCAATCTTCCATGAATCTCTCACGCACATTTATATCTACTCAAAGCGTGACATCATTTGTTTACATTTCGATACGCTTTGAGCAGATATGAATGTACATAAGAGATATCACTATTCCAATGTCCTTACAATATGCTCTGAATTATCTCTCCTCGTCTTACAATCTCCTCATACCTCTTGAGAGGCGCAGTATTTATAATGTCAGGAATAGTCCATTATTATTATTATGGGAAAGTTCCCATAACACCCCCACTTCCGAAGCTTTTTAATATTTTTTTTCTCTTTGGATCTATTACCAAAGGTTCTGTGAACTCCCTTTTTCTGAACTATTTTCGTGAATACTTCTTCTGGACTGGGTAGAGGATAGTGGTAGTCTTTTATCGCTGCCTTCAAACCCGTTGAGAAATCAGCGCATACTCGAATCTCCCCTGATTTTTTTTTTTTTTTTACGTAAACCGTGGGTGCGGCCCATTGACTTTATTCTACTTTTGTCAATATGCCGGTGTTTTCGAGTCTAGCCAATTCTTGATCTATTTTTTTCTATTGAAGCAAACGGTACGCTCCTTTTTTGTCTTGAAGATAGGTTGAGCGTTTTCTTTTATTTCTATATTTGCTGCCATTTTCTTACATCTTCTGAGACCTGCTGAAAATACTTCGGGGAGATTCTCTTTTACTTTCTCTTTTATCTGCCTCGGTCGATAAACTTTTTACATTTTGGCAATACGTACTTATTGGTAAATCCCAAAGTTCGAATTTTTGCATCGAGTCCGTACCAAATAATTTTTCTGTATTTCTTAGCACATACATTTTCAATTTTTTTGGTCATTCCATTGAATGTCACATTTGTAATCACTTCATTCTCAAATTTTATAGCAATTTTATCGGTAGGTTTGTTCAGTTTTCTCCATGTTTGTACGTTAATAATAGTTAAGTCCGACCCAGAATCCAACTGTAGTCTGACTTTTCTGTTTTGCATTTCTACTTGCACGTATTTTCTTATGTTAGTCTCATCCGCTTGGTCAGTCCTCGTGATTATTATTCTGCTTTTGCTTTCTCTTCTAGTCGAACAATGAGAACTTTTATGTCCTACTTTTTTGCATGATAGACAAGTTTTAAAACGGTATGGACAGTCTTTATACCAATGCCAAGTCCCACAGCGATAGCATGGACTGGGTGGTAGTTTTTTCTGATATTGACTTTTTGAAGTAGAAAATTTTCTTTGACTTGTTTTTGAGGAGGGAAATTTGGTTTGGTTTGTTTGTGAGGAGGGAAAGTTGGTTTGTCTTCGTACTTTACGTATGTGCGCGATGCCAGCTTCTTTTATATCTTTTGAGTCTTATGCATCTTTGGCAGTCTTCGACCAGTTTTTGAAGTGTCAAATCTTGTTCACTCTCCAATTTTGTAAGGATTCTGCGTCTAATTTCCGCGTCTTTGGTTGACACCAGGCCTTGTACGTATATTAAACATTTGAAATTGTCCGAACTGAGTTCCGATAACTTGAAATCATCACAATATTTGTTTACAATAGAAGCGAAAGATATGTAATCTTCGCTCTCCTTTTTTGTTAGATTCGGACATTTCCATCTTTTGTGGAATAGTGAGGTATTAGGGCTGAAAAGTTCTGTTAACAGTTTTATGGCTTCTTTGAAAGTTAACTCATTTGTTTTCCTCAGTAGGATATAATCTACGAATTTGGTATATTCGCATGTGCCTAATTTTCTTAGTAGTAGTCGTACTTTTCTTGCGTCTGACCAATTTCTGCAGTCAAATTCATATAGATCTTCGTACCTTCGGAATTAAGTTGCAAAGGTTTTGTCTTCGTAGGGTGCATATGTGAAATTTTCGATAGTGCTCCAAATAGCGTCTTGTGAGAGAACTGTTTCATTTTCGGAATTTTGCCCTTTATTTGCCATTACACGTAGAAATAATTCTTGTAATTCAAGATTTTTCTGTTCGTTTTTCTGTTGTTGTTCAAATTGGATTTTCATAAGTTCCACAATGATTGACTTAAAATCTTCCATGTTAACGTAATTTTGTGTAAGTATTTTCATTTAGTATAGCCTGATATTCTTGAACCTGTGTACGCCCCCAAAAAAATTCCCAGTGTAGAACTTTTCTTTTTTACCACAGTAAAGTTCATGTCCCCCCAAAAAATGCTCCTTTTTTTATCTTTTCT